CTGAACAGGTAAAAAAGCTGCTGTTTCCTTGAGACCAGGTTCACGTGCATCACCAGGCAGTCAGGACAGGGTACGTGGACGAAACGTGCAGAGGTGACGCTCTTATTTGTCCCATCGTAGGTGAAGCTGCCGCCTTCCATTGTTATGTTGAAGTATTTATACAGGCATTTGTTATCTACAAGGATGCTGCCAGAGTAGGAAGTGGTAGTATCACTGGTGTTTCTGGAGAAGTATACAGCGGCACTGTCTCTTTGCTTGAATCGCTCCAGGTTCGGCAGGTAACTCCCGGCAACTAAAGCCCATCTTCCCTCCAAATGATGAAGATCCAGTTGAGCCAAAGGTCTGACCAACTCTTCACAGGGCAGAGGAGCTGAGCAGCTCAGAGATACCAAGCAGAAGAGAGCAACGGCACACGAAGCAAAAGACAAATTGTATAGTCTGAATGCTCTTAGTCATAGAGTGTTAAACTAAGACTGTGGCCAGTGAAGAGGTCTGGTTCTTTTTATAGTTGTTTCAGAGCCTTACAGTTTCACAATTCAGAAAATACCAGAGGGCAGATTTCACCTGTGGAGTCTGTGATTGTGAAATGAAGGAATATTCTGAGTACTCTCTGTGACTACTGATTGTTTACAATGGAGGTTTGTCTGCCAGCTCCCTGCTACCTGTGGTAATGTTGTGGATGTCTAGCTACAACTGATCATCACTACAGACTCTCAGAGGGATAATTATGGTGATTATAGCTCAGAGAGGGTCAGGGATTTCTGCTTTGTCACAAGAGGGAATGACTGAGCTGAAAAGACTAACTGACCTATGCAAAATTCACCCCTTTTAATGCCAACACAGTTTGGTGTTAAATGTTCTTAACTGCATTAGATGTACAATGATAAACAAGATGGACAGTAATCATGTGTGTGTGTGTATTTCTACAATTGATAAATCTAAATACCCACTTTCAGAATCTTCAACAAATCACGATGGTATTATACTTATAAAAAATGATTTTAAAAAATCCTCATGTGCTTGTTTTGTTTGCCAGATATTAGCTGTCAGTCACCCTCGCTCTGCTGCCAAACCAACGATTTGTTGGCAGGGCCTGTTTAAAATGCTGTATTTTTACACAGAGGTCATACATTCAAAGCATCTTCAGTTGCAGCCAGCATGGCTAATCAGCTGTGATAACTAATAAATATGGAATCCTCTGTTTACTGTATGTCTCCAGTTGACTGTAGCTGAAAAAAGTTAAGATGAATATAAGATAACCATGAAACAATCCTACAAGGAAGACCCTGGATCTCACAGTGGAACAGGAGGGACAACTCCTTTGTTCTACTATAAAGACCATCAGAGAGGTGAGGTAAACATATCTGCACTTGGCTTGAGGTGAAGCGATTTTAGATTGGATAAAGTGCATAACTGTTTATGTAACAGGGCTGATTACATTCATAAAGTTCCTGCTTTAGAACAAAAGGTGGTACATTGAAGGTACATTTAGAGGAAATGCATTATTCATGGCAAAAAGCCACAGAGAGAAGTTGTGGGAATATTTCTGCTAATGGAAGATGAAGGAGGAAGCTTGTTTAGTACATATACCAGCCACCTCTGTGCCCACAGAGTAAGTCGGTGTATATGTGTGTGTGTGTGTGCGCGCACAGGTTACTCACTGTTTGACCATCTTCCATCTGCTCCTTTAGATTTTCTTTTTCTTCTGCCAACTGCTCACTCTCTGACTGCAGCCTGAACAGACACAGTTGTGTTAACACACATGCACACAAACATCAAAATTATAACAAAATTCCAATTTCCCCAGATGCCACATACAGTGTGTGTGAGGGGTTTTGTTGGGAAATGAGGCAGAGCTGTGGACATTTGTAATGATGTCCCTTAAGGACTTGACAGTATTGTCCATTACAACTGTCCATTCACACTTGTACCTCAACAGGAGGTACAAGTGGTACATTTTCTCACATACAGCTCCTCCAGGTAATGTCTAGATAAGTTCAGGGTTGTAGAGCATATATGAAAAGAGCTGAGTCTTCTAGCTATAACTTGCATGCACACAAACATCCTCACAAATTGTGGCTGTACCTGTCAGTGTGATTTTCATTCTCCTGTGTTTGGAACCCCCACAGAGGGGAAGGTGGACTCTGGGTATCCAGAGAGGTTGGGGACAAGGGAGCACCTTCCATCAGCCACTGGTCCCTCAGAGACTTCCTCTGGAATAAGAAAGAGGAGGTGCGGAACGGAAAGAAAGAGAAAGAAGAGGGTGAGTTATTTTGTAGAAATATGATTTTAACTAAAAAAAAAAAAAGGGTGTTTAAAATATAATGATATAAACAGGTTCATTATATACATTTGTCCTCCATCATAGATTCTGGTATACAATATTGTTTATATCATGTTAGCTAAACCTGTGGTAGTATTACACCAATGTGAGCAGCATTGCAAATCAGTGCACAAAAAATGTGTATTTTTGATTTTTTTTTGCATCATTGTGATTGATGTGTGGGGTACTTAATTTGCTGGGTTAGCCAAAAACAGATTTGTTTGGTTATTTTATTCATAAACTGTTCACCTAAGGAAGGAAGGAATGAAAGAACTACAACATATTCATACATCAGTATCAAGATATAAATTCACACATACAGTAAAACACAATTTTATTCTTGTCTTGGCATTTTTTTAAACATTTTTACAGAAACTGAACTGTGAAAACAGCAATTTAATATACGCAGCAAAATGAATGATCAGTAGGCAATTTGATTTTGAGGTAGACACCAATATTTATATTTGAGAGCTAAAATAATTTACCACAGAAAAACATTTCTGAAGAGGATCCTTGAAACTAGTTTAGCACAATTTCTGGTTACTTACTGACCAACATATAGGCTATACAGACTTAGTTATATTGTAGTTATAAATCAGGAAAACTAAATCAATTAAAAGGAATATTACAAGAATCAAGAGTCAGACAACAGGGACTGTAAAACTGAATTAACAGTAGCTAGTAACTTGACTCCCCAAAATATAGGCTGTCAAAACATTTATGGTTAATTAATGTCACATGCTTGAGAAAGAAAGTAGTACACATAAAAGTTTACAAGATCAATAAAATACAGACAGTTATAGGCCTGCAGTAACAGAAACACTAGCCTAGCTAGCTGTGAGCCGGTTAGGACAGTTAACTTCTAGGTAACAGCTAGCTTAATAGGTATGCTATCGTTAGCGCATTAGAACAACTTGCTTGCACTCTAAAATTACTTACATTTTAAACAAATGCCACAAAATAGTTATGATTAACGGAATACCCACAGAGAATGGTCGAACTGGGGGATTTTGTTAGTAGACACAAGATAAAGAAATGTTATGCTTCGAGCGCTGGTTGCTATTTGCAACAGGAAGTTCATCTGAAATTATAACTGGATATAACTGGAAAGGGCGTGGTTTGCATATGGACGGTAGGGACATGTCCCTACCAATAGGCTACTTCAACAAACCTGTGTGTTTTGTCTTTGGAGTGAAGTCACATTATATCGTGTCGTTGTGGCCCACCCTGATGCTACATCTAAAAGACTACATGCTAACTTGTGACTGACTAAAAGGCAGGAGGCGATCACATTACATACAGATGTATTTACTCCCAGACAGGGAGAAGGCGATAGCCGGGGTTCACTGTGCTAACAACGCTAGGCTATGCTGTTAGGGCTGTCAGTCCATACCTAACGCATAGGCGAAAAGTCTCACTCCCTTTCCTTTAATGCCTGCACTCCACAGCATACAACATAATTTTGTCCATGCCACGTCTAGTCCTTTGTAGATAACATTTTTCCACCAATAATAAAGACATAAGGTGCTTTTACCGCTATGCAGAGCTTGAGTTAACTAACTAGCCAGTAGCCATGCGGCTTTATAATGAAAACCTGCTGGCCCCCCGCCCAAACCTACACCCTTGCGAATAGCAGAATGTGATAGAGAACTGTTTGTATCCTACAGCATATCTCACCATTATTTTACTTGCATCTAAATCGTAAAATATACCATAAAGTGTTCTCAAAACGACCCATTATAAAATGAAAAGGTACCTTCCATACCATGAACACTAGTGTGTCCCAAGTTCAGATTACATATGCACTATCTTTACTGTTACTATACATCAACAAACTCAATTTTAAAATGCCACTGCAAAATAAATTAAAGCTGAATCAAAAATGTTTTTCAAATGTTTGGCAAAATGCAAAAGAGCAAGAACTACAACAAGGAGAATTCATTTCATCTAATTAGTGGTTATGGATAAGACAAAGGTGGAATAATTATTTTCAAGACAGGTTATGTCTTGCTTATTTTAGTTTGATGAGTTTTGGGCTGTACTAATAAAAATTTGTAGGCTATTTACAGTGTAGTGACATGACATTTTTACCTTTTCAGTCAAACATCAAGTCTGAAGCAAGTAAATCACTTTAACATAAAAAGTTAATATCAATCAAAAAAGTTATTACTTCCAATGGCAACTAAAATTTCATTTAGGAATAAAAAACAAGCAAACAAACTTGGTATACTACTTGCACAAATCACACAGAGAGCCCTAATGATGACAGTGACATGAAAATTATACAGTGATGATAGTGGTTACAGTTCCTTGTGTCAAGCATATCAAACCAAGCCTGCTATTACTGTATTTACTCCTCAGATGTATTTCCGTTACTAGATGGATAGGGTTGCAGAACAACTTCAGAGACAAATAAATCCCACTTTAAAAAAAAAAAAAAAAAAAAAATTCATTTTTCAGTTCTTGAGAAATTTTGTTTTCAGCTATTCAATAAAAACACTGCATAGGAAACTTCTCAGATGGTTGCACAAGGCAGACATATTGACTAATATTTCACTGATATTGCTGCAAGCAGGAGGCTGGCAAGAAGGAGAAACAGTTTTCATGCAAACAAATATTAAGGCAACTGTGCTCCCTGGTACACCAATCAGGCATAACATTATGACCACCTGCCTAATACTGTGTACACAGGAGTCAGTGCAGCAGTTGGTTGGTACTCGTGTCACTCTGCAGCTCACTGTGCATCTTCTGTGAATCCGTTTGCTTCCATAGTTAAACTGTCAGGAAGAGCACAAATGTGTCGACCATTCAGTGAAAAACTTATGTAAAAGGAGTGAAAACTGTGATGTGAGGACAAGTTAGAATCAGAATCAGAATCTGCTTTATTGGCCAGGTGTGTCGGACACACAAGGAATTTGACTCTGGTACATCGGCTCTCAATGTGTATGTACATATCCCCATACAAGGGGCAAGTAAACAATAAACCAGCATAAGGCTGTGTAATATAACAAAATAAGCAGTGTTACCAAGCAACAAACAGTGCAAACAATGCAAAATAAGCAGTATAAATAGGCAGTAAACAATGCAGACAAAAGGAATGCTCACTGTGAAATGGGATAAGTAGGAATAAAAATAGAGTACTTAAAAATAAAGAGCTATATGGACCTGTATAATCTATACAAGGTATATTTACAGGTATTGCACGGTTATTGTCCAATCATACTGTTGTGGATCAAGTGTTCATCAGAGTGACAGCCCGGGGGAAGAAACTGTCCTTGTGCCTGGTTGTCTTGGTGCACAGTGACCTGTAACGCCGTCCAGAGGGGAGGAGTTCAAACAGATTGTATCCGGGGTGTGAGGGGTCTGCAGTGATCCTCTCTGCCCTCCTTTTGACCCGTGAGGTGTACAGGTCCTCCATGGAGGGCAGGCTCGCAACAATGACCTTTTCTGCAGTCCTGACTGTCTGCTGAAGTCTGTACTTGTCCCGTTTGGTTGCTGAGCCAAACCAGACAGTGATGGAGGTGCAGAGAACAGACTCGATGATTCCTCTGTAGAACTGTATCAGCAGCTCCTGAGGCAGGTTGAACTTCCTGAGCTGGCGCAGGAAGTACATCCTCTGCTGTGCCTCTGATGGTCCTGATGTTGGACATCAGGTCCTGAGATAGTGGAGCCCAGGAACTTGTAAGACTTTACTGCTGATACAGTGCTGCCAAGTATTGGGGAGGGGGGGGGGGGCAGGGCACCTGACACATCACCACTATAGCCTAATGATCCCCTTGTGCAGTATTTCTCATTTTCAACCATCTTACAATGGTTCAAATGTAATGGAATCATATGAAAAGGATGAATAGTCATAATGAGATAGTCAGTGTGTTATTCACTTCACCTGTCAGTGTTCATAATGTTGTAGCTGATCAGTGTATATAAAGACTGTTACCAGTGACTGAAAGGCAACTTAATTACATATGGTTGTCATGCTGCAAGCAGTTCACCTTGGTTCAGATGTTTCTCCAAGCAAATGTGCCACTGAAGTGCTCAGGCAGTGAACCCTCGCCAGCTCCAGAAATATTGCTGTAGCAGACCCTGACAAATTGAAATAAGCTGTCTGCTGGGACGTTTTAGTAAATCTAATCTAGTGAGATACCCAGGATTATAAAGCACTCACAGCAGCCACAACTTCTCCTCCTGTATAAACCCAAGGAATGTCTGTAAATTTCTCACTCATAACTGTTGTGAAAGCAGCCATACTCTCCTCTAGCCTATGGCCCCATGTTTTTAAATCTAACCACTGTTAGCCAATAGTTACCTATTTAAATACAAGTGTAACAAAACCAACTCTGTTTTCTCCTGCAGCGCAGAACAAGTGCTGCACTGTTCCTCTCCCTGTACCATTGGTTAGCTTAACCCAGCCCTCTCCAAACTCCCTGCAGTTCAGGAACTGTGTACAGTATAAGCTGCTGCTCCTTCCTATCACATCCTTATATGTACCCTCAGGTTAGAATCAATGTCAAAGCTAATGAATTTACTAAAAGCCATGATAATATCACCTCCTGTGAGAAGACACTTATCTGAAAATCATTTAAAATTAATCTTTTGAGGGTGTTGCAACTTGAATTTTGATCTCATAGATACAATACCTGTATCTCTGTACCCCGTTGTGCACAAATTCACTTACTTACACACACAAATATAGTGAGCATATGAAAAACATTCTTTTGTATGACCACACCAGTACACACAAACACATGCTGTAGAAGTTTCACACAATTTAAGGAATGCACCCCAGGGTAGGGTAACACAGTGGAGCAGGAAGTGGAAATGTCAGACTGGAAATGATATGAAAACAATAGAGCAGCTCTGTGACTTGCAGTGTGTGTAAACACTTGCATAAAAACTGATTTCAGCAAAGGAAGGCTTGCCTCTAACCTTGTGAACCAGGAAATGTGGAGGGTTGTAGAGTTCATCTGTGTGTGTGTGAGAAAAGGAAATAAACTTGGCGGGAGCACACTTGCCAAAAAGCTGTGTAACCCATGGGTAAAACCAAGACTATTAAGGGCAATTCAGTGGTCAGCAATTGTTGTCTTATTTTATTTTATAAATTAATCGTGATTAGTTTCACTGCTGTCATCCCGGGGTTATTTTACTTTGGAAGGCTTTACTTTGAAAGCTAAAACCGCCTTCCTGTTTTT